CCATTTGCAAGCAGGAGGCTTGAGTTTCTAGAGCACACAGGGAGCTCAGCGGGAGAACAGGCAGGAACGGATGGGCCCCACGCAGAGTGTGCTCTTCTGTGGACTGTGAGCACTGTGGTGTTGGGTGTGAGCTGCTGAGGAAGCTGCACATCTACCAGGAAGAGGAGTGTGGAGCTGGACCTGGACAGGACAAAGACTCAGGCAGGTGTGTGTGTGTGTGTACAGAGAACACTTATTTGTGTTTCTGAGTCCAGGAAGGAAACAGTGGCCCAAGAGGAATATGGTTCCATGCGTTCTGCAGCTTGGTGTGGTCTCAGAGCCCTGTCACAAACAGAATGGCTGCTGTCCTGCTACCGATGGCAGCTGAGGTGTGGCGGCAGTGGGTGGAGGGTTGGGCTCTAGAGGATGGGGGTCCTGGGGATGAACCTAACCCTGCTCATCTCTGTCCTCCCCTTGACAGCCAACTCTGTGTGTGACTTTGGTGTGAGCAGGGGCTGAGGGCATTTGGGGGGGTGGGGTCTGGCTCCTGGTGTGAAGTTCCAGAATCGGTGTCAGCTACCTGTCTGAGGTGTGTCTGCAGGCTCCTCCTGCGCTTCTGTGATGTTAAGAGAGTTTGTGGAATAGGTAACATGTGCATATGTGTGTGTGTATAGTATATGGACGGTGTATGTGTCTACACAGTCACGCACCATGGAGTGATATTTCAGTCTACAACACACTGCATATTCCGTGGTGGTCCCATGAGATTATAATGGGACTGAAATGTTCCTGTTGCCTAGTGACACTGTCGCCTTTGTAATGTTGTAACACAAGGCATTCCTTGTGGATTTGTGGTGATGCTGGGGTAAACAAACCCACTATCCCACCAATTGTATAAAATGTATGTACAGTACAGAATACTAGATCCTGATAATGAATGACTATGTTGCAGGGTTTTGTACTTACTGTACTATACTTTCATCATTATTCAGGGTGTTTTCCTACTTGTATATAAAAAAGGTACACTGTGAAAGCCTTATGCAGGACCCTGAGGAACTATTCCAGAGGCACTGCCGTCACAGGGCCGATAGCCTTGTGCATGTTACTGCCCTCAAAACCCTCCAGGGAGACAGGATGTGGAAGGCAGTGATGGTGATGATCCTTGACCACTGTGTCTGTGTTTGTGCCTTAGCGTTTAACAAAAAGGTTTAAAAAATAAATAAATTAAAAAATTTAAAACTAGAAAAAGCCTATAAAATAATAATACAAAGAAATAAAATATTTTGTATAGCTATGCAATGTTTGTGATTGAAGCTAAGCATTATTACAAGAGAATCAAATGATTTTAAAAAATGTTAAATGCTTATGTATGTGCATGATGTATAGTGTGTGTGTGTGTGTGTGTGTGTGTGTGTGTGTGTGTGTGCTTGCATGTGTGCATGCTTCCTGGAGTGAGAAACTCTTATCACTCAGAACCTAAGGCTTCAGGCTAAGGCCCTGCCCTCGTTTATGATGAGGCCCAGGAAAGCTAAGGATGTTGCCTGAGGTCAGTCAGGTGGGGGCAGGGGTGGCTGTCTCCCACCAGCCCTTCTGCAACCCCAGGGCCACATAAGTTTTCTCCTCTGCCCTGGGTTCCTTGCCTCCTGCCTCTTTCTGTAAGGCTGGAGCCTGGGGTACCTTCTGGTGGGAGAGCAGGAGGCTGGGCCTTTGTGTGTCCACTGCCTCAGGCTAATTGGTGGCCCAGACTCATCAATAAAGGGCACACTCTTTCTGGGAAGTAGGTTGGCTTCTGCTGCCAGGGGTCTGGATCATCACGATGTGAGAGGATGAGAAGAGCCTGCTCACGAGCTCTGTCCCATCTTGAGGAAGATGAAGAAAATGAGATGAAGAAAATTCAAAACAAAACAAAGCCCCCAAGTTTCTTTGCCAAGGTCCTGAGGGTCCCTGGTGACGAGAAGGGAAGGGTGGAGGCCCCTGTACCTGGCTCAGGTTCATTTCTACCTGGGTTCTCATTGCTCATGGACAAGAGACACTCAGTAAATGCGAAATACATGTATCCCCTTTTCCTTGCCGCCCTGAGGCTTAGCTTTGTCCATGAGGGCTCTGAGGGGCAGGCACTGGTCTGCAGCCAAAAGGGCAGCGAGGAGCATGGGAGGTGCAGCCTCTCACAGTCTGACTCCTCCAGAAGCAGGAGTGGTGGTGGTCAGAGACAGCCACACTGGCCTGCCCAGGCTGCTCTGTTTACGGCTGTAGAAGACGCAGGCCCTTGGGTACCTATCTGTTGTGTAGCTATGAGGACACAACAAGGCCTCAGGGAAGGGTCTGCTGACCTCAGAGGGAAAGGATGTTGTACTGGTCAGCTTTTCTGTTGCTGCAACAATATACCTGATCCCCATAGCTTAGAGGAGAAAAGGCTTGACTCGCGGTTTTAGACATCTGAGTCCACAGCTGGCTCCTCCAAGGCAGGAACATCATGGCAGAAGGGCCTGGTGGAGGAAAGCTGCTCAATTCGTGGTAGCCAGGGAGCAGAGAGAGCAGGAAGAAAGCCTGAGAAGAAGGGACCAAGGACCATTTATGGTCTGCAAGCTCACCCCTGTGATTTACCTCTCCAACCAGGCCCTGCCTCCTAACAGCAGTTTTAACTGCAAACGTATCAATGGATTAATCCCCTGAGGAGTACAGCACCCTCATGGTCCCACTGCCTTCCAAGACCCCACCTCTGAGCACAGAAGACTTTTGAAGAACACTTTAGCTTTAAATTATAACAGACACGATGGGCCAGTCTCACAAAAGGGCTCATAAATGACACGGTTGGTTGATCACTGTGTTAGTTCACTAGGGCTACTTGATTTCAGACATCTGACCACAAAGTGGATGGCTTCAAACAACAGAAATTTGTCATCATCTCCTCATCACGGAGGCCAGACACCTGCAATCAATGTGTTGACAGAAGCAGGCTGCCCCAAAGGCACCAGGGAGGATCTGCTCCAGGCCTCTCCAACCTTCCCACAGGCCCTTGGCTATGGCACTGTCACACCAGCCTTCATGCGCATTCTTCTGGTACCTCTGCATCCAAATTTCCTGTTTAGAAGGAGATCCCTCACCGTGGACTAAGGCTCGCCCTAATGACCTCAGCACATTGCGTTGTATCTCTGCCTCCAAGTACAGTTATATTCTGAGGCACTGGGGGTTAGGACTGCAGCATATGAATTTTAGGGGGAGCCAGTTTAGCCCATAACAGTTGCTGAGGAGAACTGTGCAATCCCTAGGAGGCTCTGACCTGGACTTGGAGTGTAAAAAGTTGAAGACTACCACCACACTCTCCAGATGTTGTGCAAACCCAGGGCGTCTAAGTTGCCCAGAATGGCTGTGTATCCTGCCAGGAGTCCTTCCTATAAGCTACTCCCTTTGCCTGGATGACCCTTTCTTCCTTGCCCCTCTGCTTGTCTGACCCCTAGAATTCTTTCATTCTCCGACCTCCTTGGGGAAACTGCCTGTGCTTTGATCCTATTTCAGTGCACAAGCTAGAGCACGTAGTGTGTATTGTAATTCCTTATTGTGTGCCTGTCATCCCACACCAGCTTACTGGGTGGGCCTGTAACTCTTCCACCTTCATGTCTTCAGGGTCTGTCCAGGCCCAGGCACATAGGGGATAGAGGTCTTCCAATGTGTGAGCTGTGGCCCTGAGAAATGGTGACCCAGGAACAGGCCAGTCATAGTAGATATCTACAGAAAGACCCCAAAGATGAAGGCTGGGGACACTACTAGGAATCTAAGCAAGAGGTACTAACATATACAGGAAAGTGTATACATCATATGTGTACAGTTTAATGGATTCTCACAAACTAAACAGACCTACATAACAAGCACCAGATCAAGAAACAGAACATCACCAGCCTCCACTACCTCCTGGTGTCCTGTCCCAGTTACTGTCTGAGTTCTATCACCATAGGTTAGTTTGCCTGTTCTTAAACTTTATATAGATTGAATCATCCAATCAGTACTCCTTTGTGTCTGTATTTTTTGTCTCATATTCTGTGTGTGAGATTTACTCGTATGGTTGCACGTCCTTTCAATTTGTTTGTTCTTTCTGCTGTGTGATGTTCCGGTCTGTGAACATGCCATGGTCAACTTCTCTGCTCGAGTACTGATAGGCATTTGGATGGTTTCCAGTTGGAGCTGATATGAACAGTGCTGCTATACATCCTTACAGCACCTTTGTGCTGTGCTTGTACCTGGGAGTGAATTCCTGGGGCCCAACCAAAGCATGCAGTTATCCAGGTGGAATGACCCTGAAAGTCATGTTTTTAAGGGCTATGAGGATGGAAACCAGACCCTAGGGGGAAAAAAGGTTGAAAGGCATCAGGAGTGACATCAAGAAATGGGAGAATTTGTTGGGGAGATCATTAGCCAAAAGGCTAAGAAACCAAACCATAGATGCTGCATTGAGCAGTTTTCTAGGAGGTGGATTGTGTAGGAAACTCAGGAGGATGAAGACTGGATCGAGTTGACCTGAGGAGAAATCCAGTGGCTGGTGTAGTCCTGGTCAGTGGGGGCTTGGCATAACTCCAAACAAGTCAGTCCCTGTGTGGACCCCCAGCATGCCTGGCTTTGCAGAGCCCCTGCCTGGGGAGAAGCCACTGTCCTCACGCTGGCAGCATTGTCAGATGGAGTTTCTGCAGACATTGTGAGGAAAGAGCCCTGGGCTGGGGGCGCAGAGCCCTGGGCTATTCCCCCACCTGACTGCCTACCTCTGTAAAGTACCCTCGAATGGGGGCTCTAGACTAGGGGGAGGCCTGGTATCCCCAGCATTGTTCTCCTGGCTGCTACGGGTGCGCCAGCTGGGACACTCACTCTGCTGGCTCGCCCGAGCTGCCTATGGTGACCAGCACGGGGACAGTGAGGACCTCTGCAGCCCTCCAGGCTTGGGCCTTGGGAAGGCTTTCTGTCTACTTGTTTTTTGTTTCCTTGTTATCCTGGCCGAGCAAATAATGTCATCTTTCTCACCCCATCTTTTCCAGAACGGCAGCAAAGACAACTCTCTGGACATGCTGGGCACAGACATCTGGGCTGCCAACACCTTCGATTCCTTCAGGTAACTTCCTCTCACTCCCTTTCCTGCGGCGTGTGGCCCGGCTACTCATCCTCCTGCCCTGCTGAGTCAGTGTTCACTGACGGGGGACAAATGGAGGCAACCAAAGGCAGGCGAAGCAGAAGGGATGAGAAGGAAGAGGACAGAGGATGGAGACAGGGGCTCCAAGGGAAAAAGATAAGGCCGCTGAGAGCATCAAAGGCAAAAGAGGAAGGGAAGAGGAAGCAGAGAGAAAAGAGGGTGCGAGCGGAAACGGAAACAGACTGAAAGGGAGAGGGAGAGAGGGATGAGGGCTTGAGGTGCTCAAGAGCGGACAGGGGCACATGGTGTGATGCGGCCGGCGGGAGTGGCAGGCCCAGTCCGGAAAAAGAGCATTGTGCAGTTCAGACTCTAGAATCTCCTGATGGGCCTCGAGAACCAGCCCGGGCTCCCAAGGACGAGGGCCGGCTCCCCTAAAAGGCCTGCCAAGGAGCCCCTGCCTTGGTGTCCACCAGCCATTCCTCGGGCCGTGGACAGACCCGGAGCTGACCAACTCGGGGTGCAGTCCAGTCACACCCCGGCCGGGGCACAGCCTCACCCCATGTGGAAGGTCTCCTGGGATGCGAACCCTGAGTACTGGCCCTTGCTCCCCCACCCATCCACCTCGGAGACCCTGTGGCCTTGTTGAGGTGCTTGTCTGAGGCCCTGTGACAGATTTTGCAACCCGTTCCCCAACCCCACCCTTCCTCAACTATAGGGGTGCGACAAACTCAGAGGAGGATCGCTCTGCAGTAGCCATTGGGCCCACACCAGAGTTTTGGAAGCATGTGTTTGCCTTTAGCAGGGCTGAGGGAAGGATCCCCCCTTAGGGGGGTCTCCCAGCCCTTGGGGATTGGTGTCCTCCCGCGCTCGCACCTCCCCGCCTCTTTCGAGGACATTTCTCCCCTCTCCCCTCCCCACTGGGCCTCCTGCCCTTCAGTCACTGACTGTGCGCCTCTCCCCACCTCCCATTTCTCGCCCTCCCTCGCCCTCTAGCGGTGCCACCTGGGACCTGCAGCCTGAAAAGCTGGACTTCACGCAGTTCCACCGCAAGCTCCGACACGCGCCCAAGCAGCCCCTGCCACACATCGACCGTGAAGGGTAAGGCGGGGCCGTCCTACAGCACCCGGGCACACGGGTAACTAATGTCCAGGGTGCTCTCCCCGTCTGCGCCAGCATTGCAGGCTCACTGGCTGCTCTCAGAATCTCTGCCTTTTCTACAGTAGCTGCTCCTGACCACCCAGTCACCGGGGCCAGTGGGTCTCAGAGTTGAGCAAGCATCGGAGACCCCATCCCACTTAACCTCCAGCGGGGTCCCGCTCCCAGGGGCTCCGATGTGGTAGGTCTGGGAGAGGAGCAAGGTCAGGAATCTGCATTTCTGACAAGTCCGAGGGGTTGTTGATGCTGCAGCCCAGAGACTCCCGCTTTGGGACCCACTGGTGTAGCGCTGAACGTCACACGAGGCCATCTCCTCTCTGTCAGCTTTGTACATCGGTGTTGCGGTCCTTTTAAAACAGACCTCGGGGTCTGGGCTGCCCTCGGCCACTGTGGCTTCAGCCACAGGCGTTGAGACAAATGACTGCAGATTCTATTTGCTTCAAATAATTTTTATTGAGGCAGAATTCACATAACATAAAGTTAATCATTTTAAAGTGCAATTCAGTGGCATTTCACATAGTTACAATATTCTGCAACCACTGCCTCTTTAGTTCCAGAACATTTTAATCACCCCAATTAAAAAGCCCCATTCCCATCTACATACCCACCCCCACCCCGGAAACACCATGTTTCTGCTTCTATGAATTTAGGTCTTCTGAAAATTTGTAGAAATGGAGTCGAGTGTGACCTTTGATGTCTGGCTTGTTTCACTCAGCATGAAGCGTCTGAGGTTCATCCACACTGGAGCGTGTCTCGGTGCTTCATTCCTTTCTCAAGGCTGAGCAATGTTCCGTTTTATGGCTGCTCTACTGCTTGTACATCCATCTGTCTATTGGTGGACATGTGGGTTCTTTCCACCTCTGAGGTTTTATGAATAATGCAGATATGAACACTGAGGCTGGTCTCCCTGCCTTGTAAAAACAAGCAGCCCCCTGGGAAGAGATGGTCTCCCTCTGCTTGAAAAAGGTTAAATAAAGCAAATCCAAAAGGAATTAGAAAAGAGAGTGTTTTGTGGGCACGAGTCCTCTGGGAAAGGCTTCAAGAGAGAGACGATGTCTTCTTGGGGTCTCCAGTCTCTCCTGTGTCCCCTGAGGACTCAGAACTGGTGAAAGCAGGGGGGAAACTGAGGCCCGGAGGACCAAAGTGATGCCGCCGCCTTACTGCCTGCAGGTGTCTAGTGAAAACCCATGCTGAGCTCCAGGTGCTGGCCCTGCTCTTGGAGATTAACCACCATCATGTCAAGTATGCAGCTTGTCCCCCGTGCCAAGGGACCCTTTGCCTTCTGAAAGCAGAGTAACAGGCCACACCCGCCCGCCAGCTGCAGACGGAAATTCCTCGGCCATATTCACCCACCCAGCAAGAGTTCAGTAGACTTCAGAGAGGGGCCCGGGGTCTACCAGAGACACCTGGCTCTGGCCAAACCCTGTCCCTCTCAGGTTCCCTGGGAGTGTGAGGCAGTGCCCTGTAGCCACCTTGTGGTGAGGCCAGGAACTGCATCCCGCACAAAGTCCTGATGCGTGGGGGATGGGCTCCACGTGTCCAGCCACTGCAGCCTCCCTCAGAAGCCGGGCACCACTTGGTTGCCAAGGCTTCCTGCAGCCCGTGTTTCCATGGAAGGACAGAAATCAGAGCAGGCTGTTGCCTTGGAAACCTGGTTGGCAGCAGTGACTCAGCTGGCTATCACTACCCTCCCCCTGGAACACGCACACCTGCAATCCTGCAGGAGGTACTGGCCCTGACCAGGACGGACTCAGGCAGCAGCCTTCCCCTGCCCACCACCACTGTCTGATCTCGGGCTGTTGAGTGACAGCGAGAGGCCTCAGAGCCCAGCGCCCACTAGAGAACCCACATGTGACCTCCTGGAGCAAAGCGAGCCGTTCCAGTCAGGCCAAGTTCCCAGTACCCTCTTCCCTAGGGCCGCAGCACAGGCAGAGCACAGATGACTAGATGCAGGTGATGCTTTCGCGGGCCGCCCTGTCATCCACAGGCAGACTTACTCGGTATGATCAGAAAACACGTGAACTTCTGAATTAAAAATTTATTACAATAAAAGACACATCGCCATTATTCTCCCTCAAAGCACTCCCCCTCGCTTCAAGCACACTTATCCCGTTCTTCTTGCCACTTCTGAAGCAGTTCTGGAAGTCCTCTTTCCTTGTCTTCTCCTGCCTGCCCTGATGTCCTGAATCCATTCAAAACATTTTGTGGCAATTTCTGTCACATAAAAACAACACCTATGTTCTTGTCTACCTGATTCACTGGAAATGATATGACGCAACTTCTGGCTCTTCCCAAAGTCAAAATGACCGTGAAAGGTAAATGTTTTAATAGATACAGCGTGTCAAGGCAGCTACAGGGACACATTAAAGACATGAAAGAGGACACCCGGAACTGCTCCAGGCAGTGACAAGAATGGTGGGATAAGTGTGTTTGAAGCAAGGGGGCGTATTTTGAGGGAGGTTAATGGTGATGTCTGTCCTGTAATAAATTTTTAAAATTTAGACATTCACCGTATGCTAAGCACCCGTGTGCTTAGCTCCTGGCCTCGGCTATGCCACTCACTCTGCCGGGGGTTTTTGTTTTTGTTTTTGTTTTTGTTTTGTACTTGGGTTCAAACCCAGGACCTTCACACTGAGCTGTACATCCAGAGCCCTTTGTATTCTTTTTTACTTTGAGACAAGGTCTCACTAAAATTGCTAAGTTGCCCAGGCTGGGCTCAAACTTGGGCTCCTCCTGCCTCAGCCTCCCACAGTGCTGGGACTACACGCTTGGGACACTTTCACACTCCCGGGTCCCACCTCCCTTCTGCCCTCGGCCCAAGTCAGCTCCACACGCTTTTCCTCCACTTTCCTGCAGCATCCCTGCTCCTGTCCCTGACCCCACCGGCCGCTGTAGGTACGGCTGTGTCTCCTGCAGTTGTTTAACCCAGTGCTGTTTAACTGGGGTCCCAGACCCCAGTGCAGAAGCATATGGTGGTTGAAGAAACGAAGGATCTAATGAGTTCACAATCCCCTTCTCTTCCACTCAAGCCTTTGCTGGCTTTGGCTGCCAGATTCTCTTCCTCTGAGCTCCAGGCACTTCTGGCCGGAGGGACTTTTGCGACTCTTGTCTTATGCTGCCCCCTAGTGGCGGTCAGGCTCATGGCTCTAATAGATAATGAGGACTTGCTCGGCCAAACACCTAGGGCTTTATTTTGCTGCCAAGGGCCCGAATAGAAACAGATGCTTGGTAAATATTTAAGTGAATGAGTTACTCCGAAATTTGAGCGTTGCATTAACTCTGCGGCTGGGAAGTGCTGCCGCCAGCCCGTGGGCAGCCCTCACTGGACCTCAGTCAATACTGACAAGGGTAATAATACTTACTGCGCCCTGCCACGTACCCACCCCTGTCCTAAGTGCTTGTCTTGTGAGAATTAAAACTCACCACAACCCAGACAGACAGAGCTATGGTCTTCACTTTCACGGGGGAGACTGGGAGACCCAGAAATGGAGGAACTCACAAGCAGCTGGGCTGGCCCCAGAGTCTGGGGTTTAATCGGTCACAAAAGTAGCCATAGCAGCAGGGATCCAGTTATGTGATTCTTTATTTTATTGTATTATAATTTTATTTCATTTATTACCTATATTTACCAGTTATGGAGATTAAATTTTGTATATAATACGTGTAAACAATACATATCTAAAGTATTTCCTCTGTGCCAGGCATCATCGTGAACACCTAAGCACTTGAGTCCATTAACTAAGTCAGCCCTCCAGCCCCTTTGTGATGCTAGGCACTAATTTTCCCCATTTTACAAGTAAGGAAAATGGGGCTCAAAGAGGTTAAGTGACTTGCAGGGGTCACCCAGTTCATAAGGGCTGCAGCTACAGTTGGGGTTCACACCTCCGGTTTGTCTCAGAATCTGCGCCCTTAAATATGCAGAACACGTAGATCTTTGGCCTGCGAACTGGGCCAGCAGCTCAGGCCCAAGGGCATGCTCGTCACAGGGGACACCCCGGAGGACGGGCACACAATGTCTGAGCAGGCTGAGAGGCAAGCCAAGGAGAAAGGGAGCCCCCCGCCTCCAGGGCTTTCTGTCAGCCCCTGCCAGCCTGTGTGACCTCGAGAAAGTTCCTTGGTGTCTCTGTTCATTGATCTTTTTTCCTTTGCTACAGTGGGGCAAGATGGAAAGGCTTTTATAAGAGCTGTGGTGGGCTTTGGGGTGTTCATTAGCCAAGAAGGGTCGAGGGGTTTCTCCATTCCTTTGTAGCCTCCCTGCAGGTTGGATGTTGCCTGAGGAAGGAGAAACACACACACACACACACACACACACACACACACACCCATCTCCAGGGCCCTTTCCCCCAGGGAGGGGAGTCGGGGATGACTGATGTGCAGGCCTTGCGGGAGGGCAGGGCCAGGCTGTCCTGCCGGTCGCTCCTCTCCCGTGGCAAGGCTGGGACAGGACACTCACGTGAGCCTTGTTCCTTCCCAATGCCTTCCTGTCTTTTCTGGTCCAGGTGTGGAAAAGGGAAGCTGGAAGATGGAGATGGCATCAACCTGAATGACATTGAGAAGGTCCTTCCGGCCTGGCAGGTAGGTGCAGGGGCAAATTGTCTAACTGTGCCCACCCTCGGTCCTGGTGCCCTGCCTGGGCAGGCCTGGGAACTCCAGCTGGCCCTGGTTCCAGTAGCCGTGCACTGAGTGATAGATGGACAGGGCAGGCTCACCAGGGACCGGGGTTCCGTGTCCCACTCTGTGGCGTGTGTGGCAGCTTGTCCTTGTTGATGCTGTGGGCGCCAGTGGCGAGCATGCTGTCCCCTAGATGCAGCTCAGCCAACTTGGAGGTTTTTGCTCCTTGACCTGAAACTTCGTGCATTAGCGTACCATGGTGAGCAGCTGGGTGTCTAGTGTGGCTGGGGCTGCACTTAGCCTTCTGAGGAGCGGAGCTGTCCTGCCAGCCTCCAGATGTCTGCTGTGCTTGCTGACTTTGTCATCGACTGGCTCAGTGCCCAGAGTGGGGCCAGGCTCTGGAACAAAGAGGACTCACTCACCGAGGTGCAGTGAAGCCGGACATGAGATGCCTGCAGTGCTGGACTTCAGCAGAAGCAGCAGGGACAGCTCCTCTCGGGGACGGGGTGGGGCTGCCGAAGGCAGTTAGTGTGATGGACCTCCGAAGGGACTGCGCCCACCATCGCTGGCAGCGGGGCACCTTCCTCACCGTGTCACCTGCCCTTCCCTCTCCAGAATCTCCCACGCCATTTCGCCTGCACCCATTTGTCCCTTCCTGGTCCCTGTCCCATTTCAGCTCCCCTCTGGTCCTGCCCTGCACCTATCACTGAGAGAGACAGTAGATCCTGTAGTTCAGTTCCAGAAATTCAGTCCTGGTGAGACTTCCTGTGGTTTTCCACCTTTTTCTCCCTCTTGGGGTTTTTTGAGTTTCTTAGATCTGAAAGTTTATGGTTTCCTCAAATTTGGAAACTTCTCAGCCATTATTCCTCCTCCTTCCCCCAACCCTGGGGCTCCAATTCTGTGTGTGCCATACTTCTCCATAGTTTTCTGTGACTCGCCAAAGCTCGGCTTGACTTGTAGCAGTGGTGGTGGTCCTGGGGATTGAACCCAGGGCCTTGTCCATGCTAGGCAAGTATCTACCATCCATCCATATTCCCTGCCCTTTCTTATTTTATTTTGAGGCAAGGTCTTACTAAATTTCCCAGGTTGGCCTTGAACTTGTAATCCTCCTGTCTCATTCTGCTGTGTAACTAGGATTACAGTTGTATGCCACCTTCTCTGGCTGTTTTTTTAAAGTCTTTTTTCCTCTTTCACTTTTGATAGTTTCCATGGCTATGTCTTCAAGTTCACTCATCTTTTTATATCTAGTCCACTGTTAATCACATATGTCATATTTTTCATTTCATTATTGATCTCTAAAAGTTTAATATAGGGCCAATGACAGTGCCACATGCTTGTAATCTCAACACACTAGGAAGCTGAGGCATAAGGATCCCAAATTCAAGCCCAGCCTGGACAATTTAGTGACTTAATGAGACTCTGTCTCAAATTTTCTTTAAAAAACAGGGAAGGGGGAAGCGGGAAGGATGTTGCTCAGTGCAAAAGCCCTGAGTCCAGTGCCTAGTACTGCATTTAAAAATTCATTGTGGATATATATATCTTATATTTCTTACACTTTGTCCTATCTTCTTGAGTATGTGGAACCCATTTCTAATAGATGTTTTAATGTCCTTGTTGACTAAATCTATCACCCATGTTATTCCACACTGTTTCTATTAATTGATTTTTTTCTCCTGGTAATGGGTCATATTTTTTTGCATGTCTGATAATTTTATATTAGATATCAGATACTAGAAGCTTTACATTTTGGGGTGCTAAATTTTCTTGGGGGAGGTACTTATTTTCCAGTATCCCTTTAAATATTTTGAGATTTGTTCTAGAACACAGTTACTTCAAACGAATCTTATTCTTTCAAGATTTCTAAACTAACCAAGCGGGGAAGACTTTAGGACAGATTTCTGCCACCCTGCTGAGGCAGCGCACCCTCCGGAGACTGCCGTGCAGTGCCCTGCGTCTTAGGAGGTGCTAGAGGAACACCGCTGTTTCCAGGCCCATGTGATCCTAGCGGATTGCTCCATTTATTTCTTTTGAGCTTTCCCCAGCCTGGGACACTTCCTCATACATGTGCACAAATGACTACTCAGCCAGGAACTCAAGGTTCTGTGTCTCCCTGGACTCCTCTCTCAGGGTTGTCTTTTTTCTAAAGCTCTGCTTTCCGTATTCCAGTTGCCTTGGGTTCCGATTTTGTACTCTGTGGGTCTAACTCACGGAGACCGCCATCTCTGCGTGGACTCCACACCCTGGGTTGCGGCTGGAACTCTCTATCAGGAGGGACACACACTGTGGTCACCTCCATGCAAAGGAATTATGGTGACTTTATGGTAGAGCAACCTGGCAGGCTCCAACCTGACCAGGTGGCCCAGGCTAACATCATGAGTGGAGATAGACGGCCGCCGAGTACCTCCGATAAGTTGCAAGAAGAAAACCTACCTTCACTTCTGGGGTCGTGCAGGTGAATGCCCATGGTTTTGAGAAACGCACTCTACAACATTTGGGGGATTTGAGCCTCGGACCTGCTGTTGTCCTCAAATGGCTTGGGTGAGGGTCAGTGGTGATGGCGAGGAGGTGCACAGAGGGAAGAAGCGCAAATGCAGGGTGGTAACAGACCAGGAACCTAAGTGAGTTCTTTGTAGCACTCCTGCAACGTTCCTGCACATTCCAGAGGCTCATAAGCAATAGCCCTCGGTCGTGGTGTGTAGTGTGGAGGACAAAGGGCCAGCTCAGTCTCTGTTATCATCACCCCAAAGATAACAGAGTAAAGTCCTCCCAGATGATCCCCTTCTCCTTCCCTCCCTACATACCCACAGCACTCATTAGTGGTGTAAAAAGCACATTTGAAAGAGCTGATCTGGGAGAGGGACCAGCTGCCCCCTGCCCTAGGCGGGGTGTGGAAGTGGCCTTCAAGCCAGAAGCCTGGGAGCATCAGGGCCAGGAAAGAAACAGGTCTGACCACTGCTCTGCCTCAGTGTAAAGCAGAGTGAGGATACTTGTGGCCCTGTTGGTGGTCGGGAGGCTGTGCGCCCGGGTTCATATGGGGCACAGGGGCAACACCTGCACTCTGGACATCCAGTCGGCTTCTGCTCTCATTAGACTCAGGATGCTGCGAGTCAAGCCCCGCCTTCTGAGAAGGACCAGGCTGAAGGGGCCCTGTGTTGGGGAGATAGAGTGTGACTCACACCCCTACCCCACAGATACTCCGGGTAAGGCAAGGCACGCCTCCTAGAGCAGCGTGGATGGCCAGGCTCAGGCCTGCTGTGTGCACACATGACACAGGCAGCCACCGCAGTCATGAATGATTGCACGGCGTGACATCTTAGGCAGCGCAGAGGTTAGACTGGGAGCAAGGGGGCAGATTCTGGACATCTCCCATAGCTGTGCAGCGGGACTTTACCCTGTGGAGCCCGGCTTGCTCATTTGTAATGATGCTGTTGAGCTTTGCGAGCTGTGAAGCCCTCGCTGCTGCTGGGGAGGAGCAGGAAGGGGAGGAAGCAGCTCCAGCACCCGCTCAGGCTCATCCAGAACTGCTCCCAACCAGGATCTGTGAACGGTTTCATTGGCAGGGACCATCCCACTATTAAGTAGATTTTGAAAATCATCAGCCCCGCGGCCCTCTGCGGTTTTCTTCTCTTAGGAGTTTCTTTCCTGAAGGAGCGGTGAATCAGCAGGCACTCCTGAGCCTCCAGGGCAGCACTCGAGGCCACTGCAGAGGAGGTCTTCATCCTCCTCCCCGCCCCCCCGTGTTCAGGTTGGGGCACACAGGGCAAGGGCTCCCACATTCACACACACAGGTCCACACCCCACATGCAAGTATGAATACACATGTGCATGGGGACGCATGCATCGCAGATATCCCACATATGCATGCACAGACATACTTGCGCATGCACACACACACAACCACACATGCCTCACATGTACACACACACATAGGCGCCATACACATTCCACATATATCACACACCACACATGGGCACATACATATTTCTTATACCACACACCGTACATGCAAATGCATGGAACACATACACGCACCACATCCACACATGTTTTCACAACACACACTTTGGACCTGCTTTGCCCTCAGAAAACAAGATCCTGATGCCGCAGCTGCACCCTGGAACTGCCTGAGAAACTGTCAGACCTACAGCTGTCTGACGTGTCCCTAGACCAGTGGTGGTGAACTTATGGCACATGTGTTATTTGTTTTTCTTTTAAGAAAAGAAATGTTACTGTATGAGTTGCATGTTTTAGTTTTTCTAAACTAAAACTTTAGTATTCAAGTTTAGTTGCAGTGTTGGCCTTTTGCAATAAATAAGTGATTTTGGATTGCAGTTTGGGCACTCTTCTCTAAAAGGTTCACCATCACTGCGCTGGAGCTGCTGAACTAGTCATTTGTTGCTCAAAACCTAGCTGCTTAAAAATATATTTATCACTGGGGATATGTGGCATAGCACCTGCCTGGGAAGTGCAAGGTCCTGAGTACAATTTCCAGTATCAGAAAGAAAAAAAAAATATGTAGATATATAGATAGATATAGATATAGATATATAATTACACACACTCTTTGAGAGTAGGTGGCTGGTGAGCCGGTCCAGGCTGCAGGCTGTCTTGTGAGGCCTTTGTCTAGCTCATGGCCTGGGCTGGCTGCTCCTTCCCGCGGTGGCCCCCTCACATGACAGAAGGCAGGAAGCCTCTCTGTCAGCTGCCTGAGCATCCTCACAACATGGCAGCCGGTTCCCCCAAAGCAAGTTATAAGAGAACATGTGATTGGGAAAGCATCCAAGCTCGGCTCACATCACTCTGCATGTGCCATATGTTGTTTGCACAGGCCAACCCTGGCACAGTGTGGGAAGGCCTCGTGGCGCATGTGAGTACCAGGAAGACAAGACCATTGAGCCGCCCCAGAGGCTGGTCCACACCTGCTGAACTGGACCAGGAATCTGTCTTTATAAAGCATTATAGGA